GGAAAATAGCTGGAAATAAGGTCTGTGGAAAACAAACCTGTTTGATAAATGCACGTTTTGTTCAGCCGGATAATCTCCACATGTCTACCCTACTTTTATAATTTTCGAATCATAAATCTAATCGATAGATTATAAAAGGGTTTTAGGACGCGTCACTGCACCACTAGAAAACAACTCCATCGATCAAGCTGGCTGAAACTTTCTCTCCCTCTTCTTCTCATGCTACCTGTCACTCTCCTTTAACTCCTCCGGTGACTTTCTTTTATTTGAAGATAGTTTTTTGCCCGGCGCTCACGGGCAAACGGGAGCCTGCTCGCGCTGGTTCCGCAGCAAACAGCTGTTTACTGGGAAGCCTGCTCGCGCTGGCTCCGCAGTAAACAGCGGTTTGCTTTTCACCCAACAACGACAACCGCCTCACGAAACACTATGTTGTAGCGTTAATAAACAAAACAATTTAACAACATTGCTTGTCAAAGTACCTATACCACTGGACAATATCTTTTTTTTTAAAGCAATATTTTTAGTGGCCCGAGCGGGCAAGTGGAAAGTACGTTATGCTGGCCCGGGGTGTCTTCCGAGCCAGCGGGCCATTTATAATGTCGAGCCCTGCTCTCTGTCACTGTGCATGTGTGTAAGATTTCTGTGCAAGTTAGACGGCGCCTGCGTGTGTGCCTGCGTGTGTGACTGTGTCTATGAGGGAGAAAGGAAAGCTCATTTTGGCCGTGGCGGGAAATTGATTTGACAACATAATACTCGATGTTCACGATGTGGTCATTTACGACATCGCATGTAGTGCAATCCACGATGTATCGTGTAAACTCGATATATCGCCCAGCCCTACTTCCAATGGAGCTTTCCTAGATGATTTGGTGAAACAAACCATCTGAGTCAGGTTAGTAATGCTCCATCACATGTTTTACATCTATTACAGGGTGAATCTTAAACTGAAGCTTGACTTTAAAGCAACCCAACGGAAGTTTCATGTAAGTTTAGTTCTTTCACTCGTAGCTCGGGCTGCGGGGGAGAGAGACGGGAGCATGTTGATGCGACCTTCCTTGCCAGAGATATGGCCGCATTTTACAATAAACTTCCATTGGGTCGCTTAAAAACAAATATCGCAAATCGAATCGCAATATTTGTTAGAAAAATCGCAATTAGATTTTCCCCCAAAATCGTGCAGCCCTAATACAATGTTGCATTTATTTTTGCAGTCTTAAGATTGACTATTATCCCATTAAAGTTTAATTTCCCCCCGTACAAATATGTGTTTCTTTTACAACATGTTAGGTTAAGTCAGTCCAGTATATTTTTAGTACAATTAAAAAAGTTATATGCATATTTTGAAGGGTATAGGGAAAATGTTGTGTATGGCATTATTTGGCCAACATTACTTTGAACATGTTCACATGGTCCCAATGCTACATAGTGCCTTATTTTTCAGTTAGTAACACTGAAATAAAGTCTGTTCACATCTACAACATCCCATGTATAGTATGCGTGGGAGCTGAACCTGGATGCTATCAGACTATAGGTTAACATTAGCAGCTCTATCTGGATTTGAGATAGTTTACAATCCAAGAAAACCAGTCAAAATCGATATCCTGGATAGCCACCGAGTTTAGAATGAAAAACCTGTGTACAGGATTATGGTTCAGTTGTATTTCAAGTGTCTAATTAATGTTCCAGGAGGGAAAAAAAAGATTTTGGTAATGTCTATTTTTAAACTGCATGCTTTAGCTATGTATCTATATTATTAAAATACTAATTAAACCTAATACCCCCAGATAACATTCTTTACCTGTTTGATGGTGCCCTTCTCCAAATGTTTCTTCATTGCTTTCTTGATGAGAAACTTCTTCTTGTGAATGTCCATCTCGGGGTATTTCTTCAGAATATATTTCATGAAGGACTGGTATGAAACCCCAGACTTGTCATTACAGGACTGTAAAGAAAGAGGACAAGATATCACAAAAGTTGTCGTTAAACAAAAAGAGAAAAAACTAACTAAAAGGTGATTTAAGGAGTTCGTACACACCGTGATCGCTTCGATGAGGATATCATTCACTTTGTTCTGAGTGCCTGCATAGTTGGTAACAGGAAGCTTTTTGCTGGCAGTGACGCTAGCCCACGCAGGAATGGTCCGTTTCACTTTCTTGCTTTTCCCTTTCTTGTACTTGTAGCCATCCTTCAACCTGCCACCAAAAAAGATGAGGAGCAAGACACGAGGTCAGTGAAGAGGTTCGTTCTTTTAGAAGCGATATTTCACTGTGATCGTTACCACCCTTATCTTTGTCACATCCTCACCTTAGTAGGAGAACATAGCAGTGTGTTGCACACTGTCCAGCCGCGCAGTCCTTGCATTTGTCCCTTTGTCACCGACGGAAAAGACAAAATGAAGTTTGAGAACATCTGTCTGAATGATCACCATGGTAATTTGACCCTACATGAACCGTTAGTCTAGTGTATTACGTGCACAAGAGTAAATGTTTGCTTTGACGAGGTCTGGGAGAAGAATGGGAGGAGAAGTTGGGGGGTATTGTTATTAAATGTTGTTTATACTTTATCACCTACATTTGGAGTTTTACCCCCCTGCCAATTGTTGACTTTAAATATCTAAGTATTTCTTTATGAGAAATAGTCCAAAGAAAATCTATCCATAATGTTTAGAAGTTTAGAAGAGAGAAAACTATTTGAAAATCTAAAATTAAACTGAAAAAAATGTCTGAAAATTCTGAACTTTTTTTGTGAATAAGATGGCAAATAAAAAAAAATGTAAGCAGCATTCTGCATGTACGTAGCTGTTGTTTCAGATTTCATATGTTGACTGAGCTGGAATCAAATCGCCAGACTTTCATGACCCTTGCGCACTCTCCTCCTGAACTCCTCCGAGACTGCGGACAAAGGGACGGCTACATCTGTCTGGAATGTTTCTCATGAATGTGGCTGTGACAGGTCACATCCTTTGGGAATGCAACACTACTGTTATCCAGCAGAGGTAAGGATCATGTAAACAGATAAAAGTGCTATCAGAGTGAAATATCGCAGCGTTCAGAGTTACACTAGCTCTCTGGTGAAACTCACTCTTTCTTATCCGTCTCTTCTCCTCCTCCCTTCTCTGCCTTGGCTCCTTCAGCCTCCTCTCCATTCTCTGTGGGCTCCATGTCCCCCGCTGCCTCGCCATCGGTCACCTGGTCGGGCGTAGCTGAGGGTGCAGCCTGCTCATCTTCATTGGAGGGAGACTCCTCTGAGGACGCTTCAGGCTCTGAGGAGGAAACCATTGACATTTAGCGGAAGAAAAACCCAACAAATGCTGTTTTTTCAATGTACCGTAATTTTCGGACTTAAGGCGCACCTGAATATAAGCCGCAGCAGCTAAATTGAATGATGTGTACATATATAAACCGCACTGGACTATAACCTATCCCCTGTGTGAATTGAATGATGTGTACATATATAAACCGCACTGGACTATAAGCCGCAGGTGTTTTAATGTTTAATTACCATATGTAAGGGTTCGTGCACAGAGGGGATTGTCGGGAAAGAGATGGCTGTTTGAGGAAGCTCCCATTTATTAACATTTCAACAAACAAGTTGCATATTTACATAACGTATTCAAGTGTTACCATTTAGTGCAATAGTAGCTACAGAACATGTACTGTGCTGTGTAAACTGTACTGTATCACATAGCGTTTAAGACACAAACTTTTCAACTTTCAAACTTAAACGGTGCGCTCCCAGCGCACGTACCGGCAGTGATCTACAGCAGCGGTTTTCAACCAGTGGTACGGGGACAAACTGTCTCGCTCTCGTAATGTCTGTCTGTCTTGCTCTCGTTCTGTCTCTCGTACCACTCTCGGTTCCACTTTTACTTTTGCGCGCTACCTGTCTCACTCTTTTCCGGCCTCCAGCTTTTCCTGCTGGAACCCGCCGCTTAAAGGTGGGGGTCCGCGGACCGGCCATAGAGCCCATAGAATTAAAGGTGGTGGACTGTAACCTGTAAAATCCATAGATTTAGGAGGTCCCCTAGTGGCCGTTAGCTGTAAAAATCCATAGATTAGCCGCACCGTTATATAAGCCGCAGCGTCGAAAAAAGGCGCGGCTTATAGTCCGAAAATTACGGTACATGTTTCT